TCTCTCTCTCTCTCTCTCTCTCTCTCTCTCTCTCTCTCTCTCTCTCTCTCTTACACTCTCTCTCTCTCTTTCCCTCTCTCTCTTTGGCATGATGATGCGTCTGAATGAATGTCTCTCTCTTGAATGGGAATGACGTCCTGCTTCTGTGTGAAAGAACTTCTTTCGGAACTCTTCCATTAGTTTCCTGGGTAATCCTCCTATGCAAGGACCCTGTCTTCTTGTCTTGTGAACGGTGGATGCGTGTGTACTGTGTGAGCAATCCATCTTTTTCCTGTGCATGGCTCATTTTTCGCACCTTCCACAGTGAATGAATGTATGGAAATGCGTATCTCTTTTGCGTTTATTAGACGATTGTCGTCGGGATTTTGTCCGAGAATGCAAGAGTGCTTAGATCTGTAGCTCTGAGTGCACTGCGCATGCCATCTGCCTTATGCTGCCCGACATCCGCAGCCGAACCACGGGCGGCCTTGAGAAACAAGGCGCCTGGGATCAACGTCGCACTGGCTCCCTAACCCTAAGCCGCGGATCGGTTCCTTAGTCATATGCATGATCAAGCTGATGAAGTGTCTTCTTTCGCTCTCTCTCTCTCGTGTTAAAGGAGATTGATTGTGGGGTGCGCGAGCATTTTTAATGACGTCTCCAGTTCTTTACAATTGATTGATATGTGGACTGACCAGTACCCTCCGATCGGGCACCAGCCTCCCATACCTCTCGTCCCAACACGACCTTTTCCTTACAACGAGGGAAGGACACGTGAATGTGAGTGGGACGTACGAGAAGCCGTTGCGCAAATCGGCGGACGATACTACTTCCCTCCGGCAAATCGTTGTTCAGGGTTCGTAGAGGTTGGGTTTGTCATTATCGATACACACTTCCCACCTTACTCGGTATTGTTGCCATTGAACGAGTTGATCATCATCCCGTGGACGGCAGTAGAACCCCACTGGCCGCGCACTCTGTGCACCGAATATCAGCGTTTTGAGCGCTACGAGTCCAGGGGTTTCCACTACCGTGTGCGGAGTGAAGACGAGCATAAAGAAAGAGCCACGCGGCTGAGACCATCCACGTCAGACTCGGAACTGACCAGTGAACGACGACGAGATTTGATACGAAAACGAGACACGCGAAGCGTGCCAAAGCCTTTCCGTTCTAAACGACGGGATGTAGCCCGGTGGGAAGCTCGGCAGTACTTTTTGGATTGAATCTGGATTTTTCGCGTCGTGCCCGCGCGCGCATTCCGCGGCGTGCGAAAGCAATCGACTTGCTTAATCGGACCAACACGGGGGATTTCAGTTTCATCTGTGTCCCCGCACTCAATTTCCAAAAATCCTTGGCACACCCCATCTTGCTGTTTTTCTGGGCCTCTTTCCGCATGCCTAACACTCCAAACGGAAGACAGCACAGGGTGTGAGGTTGCGTGTCACACGAGGGTGATGAGGAAAGGGAGGAGGAGGAGGAGGAGGAGGAGGGCGACGAGGGCGACGAGGAAGTGGAGGAGGAGGAGGGGGAGGGGGAGGGCGAGGAGGAGGAGGAGGAAGAGGAGGAGGAGGGCGACGAGGGCGACGAGGAAGGGGAGGAGGGGGAGGAGGGTGACGAGGACGAGGAGGAGGGGAAGGAGGAGGGCGACGAGGGCGACGAGGTAGGAGAGGAGGAGGAGGACGAGCGGGAGGAGAGGAGAAGCATGCAGAGGAGGCAGTGAGGAGGATGAAGGGGAGATCGAGGCCAGTGATACTCACCGGGCGATGATGGCGGCAGCTCCTCCCTCACAAGGCAGCACGGCAGCACGGCAGCACAGCAGCACTTCAGCACGGGGCGACACTTGAGAACGGCGGCAGCTCCTCCTTGAAATGGCAACGGCACTCCTCGCAGGAATGGCCGTGCCAACCAGAAACCTACCCAAGAGGCCCAGCGAAGTCCACCTACACACAGTACAAACAGGTTTCGGAATTTTGAAACCTCGCGGTCCGGCCTTGAGCGCGGGCCTAAAAGATGTTTTTTTGGCCTTGGCATCGATTTTTGCGGGGGGGCTCCAATGTGTCGTTTCGACCCCCGCCTTTTTTTTTGGGAGGGGGGGGAGGCGGGGTTCGGGCCGTTCCCCGCACACCTCGTGTGCCGCGCGGGAACAGTCGGGTGTGTGCGCGGAACGTTGAGAAACTCGGGCACGACGTGCACTTGCGAGTATGGTCTCAACCATTTTACCTGTCCACAAAGTGGGAGAGGCAGGATTCAAACCTACGTAGAAATATAACCTTCAACAGATTTAGGGGCTCGTTAGACTCTCCTATTGAAATCCTGGGGCAAAAGGAAAAATTCCTTTTGGTTCAAAAGGAAATTAGGGCCCTTCGTTCCACCTGTCCTCAGGCGTCGGGGACGCGCCCGAGGACATTTCCTTCGAGCAATGTCAAAAAAGAAAAAAGAAAAGAAAAAAAAAATCAAATGTGCTTGAGGCCTTCAGCCAATAGGGTGCCACACACAATCCAGATTCTCAGTTGTAACATCTCTCTACCCATGTGCCCGCTCCTCTCCATGAAACGCGGATTCCTTTTGCCCAAGGGACCTCGTGAGGTCCCTTGGCCAAAAGGAAGAAATGGTTGGGGAATCCTCGGAGCCCAAGGAATTTCCTGCGGAGTGTTTTCACTT